TCTATAGGTCTTGACACAAAGACTCTGGTCTGTGACTTTGGCTGAAGATTTGACTGTGGCCAGTCGAGCGGCTGGCCAGCTATGACGGGATGCCTGGGAGTGTGGTCCCCAACCCCTCCAGGGGACCGATGGCAGGACACCATCTGCTACAGAGGTCCCATTAGGAACACTAAATTTAGGCTGGTGGTATTCTTCGACTGGGTCGTCACTGTTTTCCCTAACACTGGCCCTCTTGCCTGGAGATGCTACCGAAGTCTTGAATGAATCAGAGGCCTGCAGGACAACTTTCCCACCTCCCCTCCCAGCTGATAACTTGGGTCAAGGCCTTGGGAGATGATTCTGCTAAGGTAGGAGATATAGAGGAAACCAGCATCTGCTACCACACCTTTTAGGGACCAGTTTGGAGCACGTGGTAGAGGGTGTTATTTTTTCTTCCTTTGTTTCTTTTTTTTTTTTTCTTTTGGTGCTTGAGATTGAACCCAAGGCCTTAGCACTGAGCTGTATCCCCTGTCCTATTTTATTTTTTATTTTGAGATGGAGTCACACTAAGTTGTCCAGGCTGGATTCAAACTTATGATCCTCCTGCCTCAGCCTCCCAGAATGCTAGGATTATAGGTGTGCACCACCACACCCGGCTCTTCCTACAAGGACCCCAGTCAGGTTGCACTGGGACTACCCACTGACTTCGTTTCATATGAGTCACCTCTATTCAGGTTCTGTCTCTAAGTATAGTCACGGCCTGAGGTACCACAAGTTAGGGCTTGGACACATGAATTTGTGGGACGTAACTTGGCCTATAACACTAGTGCAATTTGTCTCCTAGTGGTCAGTGGGTCGTTCCCCAGGTCCCCAAACGTACACCTGGAATGAACACTCTTAGCTGGAAGAAGGCAGACACTGCCTTGGCCTGTGTGAGGCAAGGACTCAGCAGCCCCTGAAAAAGGCTGCTTTATCTCAAGGGTGGCAGAAGGTACCGCCACGGGCCACAGGGTCGGTGGGGGCCACTGCATGCCCTTGTGATGACGCACCATTTGCGCCTGTGCAACCCCAGGTGGGCTGTGGTAGGTGACAAAGGCCACTGCGACCTCAGAGGAGCGGAGTCCCCAGTTGGAACTGCTCTGGCGCGAGCCGAGTACAGGAGGGGGCTGCACATCAGCCAGCGCATTCCTTCCACGCCCCAGGACCGGTGAAAACCCATCCACTTGCCCTGGGGCTTGCCCAGGGTTGCTGTCCCCTGCCTCCCACCGCGGTACAGTCGGGAGGGACCTGGGTGGCCGGTGCATCCCAAGAGCTGAGAAGCAGGAAGAGCACGGACCCTGTGCCCTGTGAGACGAATGCAGAAAGATCCCGGGCTGGCTGCGACCCCATGAAGGTTTGGCCTGCCGCAGGGTGGGAGGATCCCTGCGGGGAAAAGACAAGGGACCCTACTGCTTTCTGTCGCTAAGGAAGAAACACGAGCTCTGCAGCCGTCGCTGGACATGGAAGTGGCACTTTCACTTTGGACGATGACCTTGCACATCGGGTGCTGCCTACTTTAGCTGGGGTCCATGTGAGGACTCCGTAGCAGCTCCAGGCTGTGGGACAGGGGTCCTGGCCCTTGAACCGCATGATCTGGCATTGCCTGTGGCAGCAGGGGCACCTGATCCCAATTTTGCTTGTGAGATTCTTGCCCCTCTCCTGTCCGAGGTGCTGGCCAAGACACCCCTCCACCATCAGGACCCTGCTGTGGTCCCAGCCACCCTCTCTTGGCTACGTGTCACCAACACCTGCTTCCATGCCCCATCCTCATGTCCTGCACCCCGCTCCCTCCAGGGGAGGGGAGGGTCCCAGTAAGAAGCACTGTAGGGGACGCCGAGGGTCGCAAGTAGCCTTCGTGCTGCTGCCATGCAGAGAATGCACCATGAGGCCAGAGACCAGAATATCACTGCAGTTCTCTTGGGCAGTGAGTGATTTTAAGTGACTTTTGTTTTCTTCTTTGTTTAACTATTTTCTAAAGTTTATGTAATGAAAGGATTACTTCTCAGATAAGGGAAATCGATAAAAGGTATTATTCTTTAAAATGCCATCGCTAGCTCCCTACTGCCCACGGCCCAACTCTGCACCCTGACGGGCAGCCCAGCCAGCTGAGTTCAGGGGACTCCTCCCGGGCCACCAGGGCTCCACCCATTAGGCCCTAGTGGCTGATATCCAGTCCAGCTGTACCCACCACCCTTGTCCCCCTCCAGGGCCCAGGGGGGCCTCTCTCTCCTTCCCGCATCCAGTGGAACCTCATCTCTCCCCTAGCCGCATGGGCCCAAGGGTGCTGTCCACATGGCTGCTGTGTCTCTTGTGGATCCCCTACACCCTTCCCCGGAATGATCCTTTATGCCCCCTGAATATTCTTTTCTGGGTGACTCTTCTTAGGGTCAGGGTCATGGCTGATATGACCAAGGGCAGGGATAGTGTCGCCAATGTCTCTAGCATGTCTGGTATACAGTGGGCACTCCATAATTGCACACAACTCAGGAGCATCACCTGGGCTCTCTGCTTCCCTGCTCTGCAGGATGGCTGTAGGCGTTCAGCTCACCATGGCCCTGTGTTCAGGTGCCTCACCCAGTTCTCTGCCTCCGTGGGATTCTGTCTGTCCCTGACTTTGAGCTCCCCTTTTGATGTGAAAGCAACAATGCAGCATTCCTGAGACAGTAAATAGCCAGCCCCGTCCCCCTCCTGCCACCCTCCTGGCCACCAGTGTGGGCAGCAGCACCTACACAGGGCAAGTGAGGCTGAGTGACTCACTGTGGCTACACAGTCACAGTGCAGAGCCCACACTCAAGACTCTCGAGGGCCTCAGGGAGCCTCTGCACCCCCAGCCACGAGACAGGCTCTCCCTGGGTCTCAAGTTCCACCCAGTCCTTTCGCATCTGCTGCCTCTTCCTTCCCTCCCTGTGGCTCCCCGTTTCCCAGACCACCCCCCAACCCTCCCAAGAAGCCCCACAGGCTCTCTCCGTCCACTCCCGAGCCCTGTTCCCTGTGCCACTCCAAGCCACTTCCTCCACATCAAGTGTCCTGCCAGGGCCTCTGGGACAGGCTGGGCTGGACAATGCAGGGATAGAGTTATGCACATAGTAGGTGCTTAAGTGTACGTGTCTTTTCCTTTATGCCTTGTGAACCCCACTCTGGCCTCTTTCAAGCAAGAGCACAATGGCATATGGGTCTCTGTCCCCAGACCGGCCAGCATCGGCAAATCTGCGGGCAGATCTGCCCAACCCTGCAGGCTTCAGGGGCTCTGAGCTGCCAGTCCCTGCTGCCAAGGTCCTCCTGCACCTTCCTGCCACTCGCCTCTTCCTTATCCTACCCTAGGCCTCGCTGCCTCCTGGCCTCCTGCCTGGTGCAGCTGTTATCCCAGTACACCCCGGCCTTGTCTGCCTATGGGCCAGAATGGCTGTCCTGAGTCTGCCCGCTCTACCCCCTATAAATAGCCTGTTTTATCTCCTTGGTGAAGGGAAGCAGTGGGCTGAGGCCCGGTCACCTCCTGTCCCGTGACCAGGACTGTCGCCAAGTGGCTGTGTGACCTTGGGCGAGGGAGGCCCTGTGGGCTCATCCCATTGGCCGTGGATCCTGCCTGCTCCCCTGGGCCTGGTTACCTTCAGGCCCTCGACGGGTCCTCCCCTCCCTGGCTGCCCCGGGCACCTCAGTGAGTATGGAGAGCTCGGGGAAGTACAGGGCTGCAGAGTCTTCACAAATGACTCACTTTGGGGAGCTTGGTGGCACAGTGTCACTTGGGCCCGCCTGGGTCTTGAGCCTCTGAGGAGGCCTCACATTCACAGGACACAGATGGGCTGACCTCATGCTGAGGTCAGGTCTGAGCCAGCAGCCTGGAGGAGCAGAGTGGCCCTGACGGCAGCTCTGTGGCCTGGGAGTCCAAGAGCCACAGCCGGAGCCTGTGGCTATGTGGGGTCTCACTTGGTCTGAGGAAGGTCTCCGTAAATCTAGAAGCAGCTCTGTAACAGGGCTGAGTTCTCCATCCTCAAGGGTGCCCTAGACCCCACCCTTGCACTGCCCTTCCATTCCTGGTCAGGCTGGAGGGGCCTGAACACTTTCTCTGACCCCAGAGAAAGCACCTTCCTGCCACTTGAACTGACTTCCATCACTGTGGTTCTGCCCTCAAGTTCCCTGGGTCCTTGGCTGCCCTCAGACCCAGCTCTGGTCCCAGCCTCAAGTCTCACTGGGTTTTTGTTAGAAGCTCAGATCGGGAATGGCCTTCCCTGGATGTGAGGGGCGGTAGCATTCAGTGACTGACCAGGGCCCCTAGGAAGACGAGCGCAGGGGACCCAGCCAGGTAGGGACGGGAGGTTGGCAGATGTGGCCCTGACATCAGGCAGAAGAGCCAACCCCAAGGCCACATAGGAGGAGGCAGCAGGGTGAGACTCTTGGGTACAGAGCCTTGACCCCCCAGGACCTCTGGGGGCTCCCTGGGGTGGGCACAGGGCCCCTCCCTGCAAGCAGGATGAGAGGTGACCATGAGCAATCCGTGCTGCTCCTACATGACTCCCTTCCACAGCAAGGTGGAGGCAGGGCTGTGGGTGACAGTGTGGGGACCGTGGCAGCCAGGCAAGGGGTTGTGAGGGCCACAGGACGGGGTCTCCCCGAGGTGGGGCTCTGGTCACTGCCGCGTCTGCGCAGACTGCCCTGGCTGTCTGAAGCCCACATGCTTGTGCACACAGCAGTACTGCCCGAGCAGGCACACGGCCTCATGGCAGCCTCAACACCAGCCCCTCGCCCGCCCAGAGCTCAGCCCCTTCCCCACCCATCCTTACCAGCTCTCACCTTCAAAGCTGCCGACCCTCTCCCACCCTGTGCATTCCTGCCTACACCCCGCTGTGGTCAGCAGCAGCAAGATCACTCCCAAACTGGACATCAAAGAACCCCCAAGTCTTTTCCCCAAAGCCCGCAGTGAAGACACAGGACAAATTGGCGGATTTTTCTTTGCAGATTTGTTTTTTTTTTTTAGTAGACGGAGTCTTTTTTTTTTTGTTCTTTCTCATTTTACAGCAAACATTGCAAATATAGAAATTTTTTTTTTTCTGTACAACAGAACAACTACAGTGTACAACAGGGACTGGGGGAACACACAGTGCTTCCCATCCACGGTCCCCCCCAGCCACCCCGACCCGTCCACAGGCATAGGCCCCTCTGCAGTTCCACAGGAGGCCACTCAGCTGCCGGCCTCTGCTCGCTCCTGTGCAGTGGCCTCCAGAGGTGGTAAGGAAGAGACGGACCGAACAGAGCATCCACAGAGAACCACAGACTGAGAGATCGTATGAGGGGCCCCGGCAGCCACGCCGGTCATGCCCAGCAACAGGTATTCTATGTCTTTTTTTAAAGAATTTGACTTTTATTATTTTTTTTAAAAAAGAAGAAAATAAGGAGAAGGAGAGGAAGAAGGCAGAGAAGAATCAAAAGAGGAAAGATAATGAAAAAAACCCCCACCCCACCCCCACCCCTAAGACACAGTTTTCCGAAGTCCCTGGCGTATGTGTGTGTGTGTGTGTGTGTATGTGTGTGTGTATGGGGGAATCCGAGTGTGGGTTACATGGGTGTCAGGACATCTACCCATGCCGTTGTCCCCTCCCGCTGTCCCCGCACCCGGCTCCCACCCTGTTACGCACACGCTGTGTTTCACCATGAGTCTCTGAGTTTGAAATAGCTGCGGTGGATCTTGTATCCTTTTTGGTCCAGTGGCATCACGAGTTTCGGGAAGGGCAGGGCCACCACCTCCGTGAGGGCTCAGGACTTGTGCTGGGCGGATACGCCCTTCCAGTAGTCCAGGATGTCGTGCAGATCCTCGTCCTTGGCGAACTGGACCTTCTTGCGCAGGGCATGGCCGGCCGCCATGAACTCCTCGTCATCCTTGGGGCGGCGCCGGCTCAGTCTGAGGCGCTCCCAGATGCTCTGCGAGGCCCTGCAGGGGTACTCGGGGCTGGACGTGTAGCTCAGGTTGTGGTACTGTGGAGACAGCTGGGAGTAGGCAAGGTCGCGGGGCCGCGGCCGGGTCAGCGGCTCCAGGATGGATGCTTTGCGGCCGCCCAGGCCCTCGTGGGCTGGCGGTGGCAGCTGTGGCGCGGGCGGCTCGGCGGCGGGGTGGGAGCCGGGGTAGGAGTGCCGGTGCTCGCCATACTGGCGGCTCTTCTCGGCCTCCGCCCGCAGCACAGCGGCTGCGGGTGTCACAGTGAGGATGGCCTCTGCTGCTGGTGAGCTCTTCTCGATGTACTTGGCTTCAGCGGCTGTGGCTTTGTGCACGCTGGGGGGCTCAGTGCGGAAGGCCCGAGGGCTGCGCGTGGAGCCACTGGATGAGGTGCTGGCCCTCGGGGGCCCGGGGGCCGCCTCCACGCTGTGGTGCCGCTGCAGGCCGTGGCCGAAAGTGTCCTTGTACACAGGTGACAGGAAGCCGTGCTTGGTGGCCAGCGGCTCGGACAGCAGCACCAGCTGGGGCTCGGCCGTGGACACAGGCCCGGACTTGGCACCCTGGAAGGAGGTGGACTCAGACTTGAGCGCATCGATGCAGTTGTTGATGATCTGATTGACCTTGTCCACCTCCTTGGCGATGGTGGAGATCTCGGCCACCGAGCTCTGGCTCTCGGGGCCTGGCCGGCCCAGCTCGCAGTCCCTGCGTTCCGGCTCCCCTGTGCGCACCTCCATGTAGTTCCCCTTGCTGGCCTTGGGCGTTTCTCCGCTCTCTACCAGCTTGTACTGTTCCACCTCGCTGGCTGCGGCTGGCAGGTATGGGATGCGGGTCACGGCCTCAGGGCCCAGCAGCGGGCCCTGCGACAGTGGGGCCAGACCAGGCGCCTCCATCTCGGGTCCGTACTTGAGCTCAATAATGGTCTTCTTGAGGCTGCCGGCCGCCGCAGCTGAGGCTGCCTTCTTGTGCTTCTCCTCCTGGCGCCTCCGCCTCCGCAGGCAGTAGTACACAGCGCCCAGCACCAGCACCATGCCGAAGAGGCAGCCCAGGATGGTCATGATGTAGTGGGTGGCCGTGGAAGGGCTGGGCACTGGCCCAGGCGGGCTGGGGGGCTTGGGCAGGCAGATGGTGAGGCAGGTATGGTTGTGGTGTGTGCCCGAGCTGGTGGATACCACGCAGTAGGTGTAGTTGGTCAGCGTGTACAGGTTGGTCAGGCGGATCTCCTCCTGGGCCTGCGTCAGCCTGGACACTGTGGAGGATTTGCTGTTGTTGTAATGTTCCAGCGTGTACATGCGGTTGAAAGGGCTGGGCAACTGCACTGTGATGGTGGCCGAGTTCTGGGTCAGCTGCTTGACCTTGATGAGGGGACGAGCCTCAGCCTGGGTGGCCAGCGTGGGCAGAGCCACCAGTGGTGTGGTGCCGTCCCCAGAGAAACACTCGTCATCACTGCAGGGTACATCAGCTCGGCTCCCCAAGCTTGGCTCTGGCGGTGGTGGTGGTGGCGGTGAGCGGCCCGGCTGGGAGCGGCCAGGCACCAGACGGGGCACGGCCACCTCTGTGGCATAGGAGTCCTCTGTACAGACGGACTGCAGTTTGCTGAGGATGCTGCGATGGCCATGGCGGCCCTGGCCCAGGAGGAAGTAGCCAGAGTAGATGGGTGGCGACTCACACTGCATGCGGTCGTAGGTCTGCGTGGTGTTGGTGAAGGCGGCCAGCCAGCGCAGGAAGCCCAGCAGCTCACAGGAGCAGTAGAAGGGGTTGCTGTACAGCTCACATACGGAGAGCTTGGTCAGGCCCGAGAAGGTGCCGCTGCTCAGCTGCTGGATTCGGTTCATGGACAGGTCAATGTTGATGATACTGGGACATTCCCAAAAGGCGCTGGCCATGACCACCTCGATGAGGTTGGCCTGCAGGTAGAGGTACTCCAGCTTGCCCAGGCCACGCAGCATGCCCTCCGTGAGGTTGCGCAGCCGGTTGTAGCCCAGCTGCAACACCTGCAGGTTGAACTGGCCCGAGAAGGCACCGTCCTCGATGTAGCCGATCTCGTTCTTGGTGAGGTTGAGGTACGTGAGGTTGCCGAAGCGGCTCAGTGAGGCATACTGCACGCTGCGGATGCGGTTCTCATTCAGCCGCAGGTCCACGATTGTGCTGTTGATCTGCTGCGGGATGGCCTCGTAGGGCGGCTGGTTCTGGCTGCAGATGGCCAGCCACACAAAGCCCTTATCGCCCTCAATCAGCCAGCAGTCGCCACGGGCCAGTCCGCCCACATGCAGCAGGGCGGCTGCTGCCACACACACCCACAGCATGCCCCTCCCACGTGCAGCCATCGGGACTGCCCTGGTGGGACACCCCGCTCAGCCTGCCTGGGGGGGAACTGGGTGGGGAGCTGTGCAGCAGCCCCCAGAGGGATGGAGGGGTGGGATGGGATGCCACCTGCACACTCAGAGGTGCGCTGTCCCAGGCTGCATGGCTGAAGGGCACAAGTGCTGGGAGGGAGGCGCCCCTCTCACAGCCGGCCGCCCCTTGTCTCCCACTCTAGTCCTGCGGCGGCCACGGCTTCCTTCCCCATGGGCCCGCAGGTCCTGTGGCAGCTCCGCTGGTGCTGCTGCTCCAAAGTCGTCCCTGCTGCAAGACAAAAGAGAAGAAAGACAGTGGTCACGGGAAGCCACCTCCAGAGGTCATTGGCTGAATGTTACCGGTCCTAGCCAGCTGTGTTCCTCAGCACAGAGGTGGCTGAAGAAAGGCCAGGATAGTCCTCCAAGACCTCCTTCAGTCTCTGGCCTCGGTTTCCTCATCTGTAAAGTGGGTGTGATGCCATGTGCACAGCTGGGCTCAAAGGCACAGTGACCATGTGGAATCAAGTCTTGCACGGCCAATTTTACATTCTGCATGATCCTGGTCAGGTGAGGAAACTGAGGCCCAGAGAGGAGACAAAAGTCAGCCAACCAAGACGGGCTGCATCTGGCCTGGCGATATGTCTGGGTGATGGTGATAACCACGGTGCTCTCTGCCTGGGACTGAGGACAGCATTTCTCCCCCCAGAAGGGCTCAGCCTCAGCATCCTTGGCAGCCTGCAGGGGGCGCCTGAGCCCTAGCTGGGTCCCAGGCTGAGGGGCCTTTCCACCCGACTCAGGACCAGGCTTGGCCTGAGAGTTCTCCTACCATGTGGTTCCCAAGTCATCCTCACTCTGGGCCTCAGTTTCCCAAATGAACCAGCCAGGTGGTCTCTGAGGCTGTCCACCGCCTCCCTGGTGCTGAGGATGTGGAGCTGTCCCGGCTCCACTTGGTGGATTCAGGCAGCACAGCCAGGAAGGGACAGCGGCTCTGCCATGAGGTCCCAGCACCACCGTCCTTGCTGGTCAGTACGGACACCTCGGCAGCCCTGCAGACTGGGTTGTTCCCTGCATCCCTGCTGGTGCCTGCAAGAGGCAGGGCCGAGCCTCGTCCCAGCCCCAGGGCAGGGAGCAGCGCCATGTGGTTGCGCAGACAGGGCCAGACCCCCTGCACAGAGAGGGCCTCGGGTACCCCACCCTGTGTTTTCCCTCAGGAGGAGAAATGGGTGTGTGTTTGCTTGTTAATTTCTGGATTTACAGCCGCCCTCTGTCCCTGCTCTGTGGCCTGGCGGGCAGCCAGCCGAGTGTATTTCACCGATATTGACGTCTGCAACTAGTCTGCACTGAGGCAGTTCAAATTAGGAGAAAAAATATAATGATGTGAAATGGATTTTCCCCTCTTTGGAAACTTCATAAAGAACAATTTTGATCTGGCTCTTGGGAAGAGTCTGTTCTGATTTAAAGAGAGGGGTGAAGTCCGAGGAGGTGGGGGCTCCACAGGTGGGGGGGTTGACCTGGGGCTGGGCCTCAATCCACTAACAGGCGCTGTCAGCCGAGGCGGGAGAGCAAGCACCATGGGCTTGTGACGTGAAATTCACCATCACAGGGCAGCTCTGTGACTCCCGGGTGGTGGTGCTCATCTCCGCGCGTCACCGAGATGCAGTGTGGGCACCTGCACCCAGTCCCTCCCTCCCTCCCCTCAGGGCCCAGGAGCCTGTGGCTTGTGTCCCCAGGGCTTCCTGAGAGCCCAGGCCCAGGCAGAGGTCTGGGAATGCGGGGCCGACAGCCTCCAGAAGGGGGTGCTGGGAGCCACAGGCCCCTCTAGGAAACTTGGCGCCTCTGCAGGGCGATGGTAATCACCCTTAATCTCTCGCTCAAAATAACCCAAAGTCAAGTTAAGGAGGATTACAGGCCTGAGAGCCCTTATCAGAGGCGCTGCGGCGTCTCCCGCTACACTCATCACTCCAGGCCGGGTGGCACCTGTGGGTTTGCACACGCGTGTTCCTGTATGTACAGAAGCTTGCCTACGGGTGGGGCGGCACACATGTCTACCTATGCACGTTGGACACACACATGAACATGGCCTGCAAGATCCATCAGGTACCGCACTGGGGCTCGCCCTTCCTGCCTGGTCCTCCAGGACCCCCCAGCTCCGGTACTGGAAACAGCAGGAGGCCGGGCCTAGTGAAGGAGCTGGTGTCCCACACCCAGAGTCTCCCTCCTCCCCATCCGGGCCCCAACCCGAGTCTCCCGGGTGGAGGGAGCAGCAGGGGGTGGACAATCCAGCGGTCAGCAGCCTCTAATGAGGGCGGCTCTGCTGTCACCTCTGTGGCCCCAAGCTTCTTGCTCCACACTCCACACCTCACTTCACGGATGGCGAAACAGGCCCAGAGAGAAGGCCCTGCCCAAGGTCACAGTGACTCGGCCCACCTGCTCCTGCGAAGTGGGCGGGGAAGAAAGGGTAGGCGCCTCCCGTAGTCTGATGGCCAGAGGCAGAGGCAAGGGCCCGACGGCAATATCTGCACAGTGAACAGGCCAGATCTCCTTGGCACACAGAGTCTTTCCTGCAGGCTTAATCACTCATAAGTCACTCAGTCCCCTGGCCTCTCCCCTCACTGTGCTTGGTTATTCACTCATCAAACCATGGCTGCCAGAGCAATGTGCTGGGCCAGCTGGCCGCAGGGTAGGCGTGCAGACTCCAGGGGGCCCGGCTGTCCTTGCCCCTTCCCCCACACCCCCTCAGTGCCCTTGTTCCATGCAACTGACTGCGGTCCCGCATCTCCGACCTTGATGTGCCCCTCAGCCCCGCCAGGGTGTGGAGCCCAAGGGTGGGTATAGGGGCCAGGCCCCCTACAGGTTGCCAGGCCAGCAAGTGTCAACATCTCACAGACAGGACCGCTCCAGGGGACAAGTGAAGACCCCTGACCCACAAGATGTGGGAAGTAGAAAGCTCCCTGTCAACAAGGGTATTCAAACTAGAGCTAGGAGCTGAGGGCAGGGCCACTTGTGCTGGGTGGAGGGGCCAGGATGGCACATCCCCACGAGCATGGGAACCAGCTGGCCTCTTCAAGGAACCACGTGGGGCTGCACACACGTCTGCCTTCGCACGTCATGCGCACGTGCCAAGACCGCCCACTCAGTGGAGGGGCTGCTCCAAGAGACCCTGGGCTAAGAGGCCTTTGACTGTCCTAAGGCCTGGGTGAGTGGGGACAGACGTCTCAGCCCCCAGAGTGGGGCCAGTGCCCCACAGACCACAGGGATGCTCCACACCAGTGTGGACGCCCTAAAGTATGGGGCCAAGGAGCTGGCTAGGCTCCCCGCTTGCCAGCAGGCATGGACATCCTGGCTCCCAAAGGTGGATCTCCAGGCACCCTTACCCTAACCCGGAAGGACTAACGGTCCCTGGGGGAGAGGAGGTGGGCAGAGCTGGGGAGGTGCCACACAATCTCAGGAGGGCTCATGGGGAAGGAAGACAGGGAAGCACAAAGGCCGGCACTCCTGAAGGCCCCTCCCCAGGATGGGCTGTCCAGGGTGGGACTGTGGTGGGCCATGCCAGATGGACACTGTGCTGCAGGAACTGCTGGGCCAGGATGGCAGGGTCCTGAGGACAGGAGAGGAGCCCAACTGTAGCCCAGCCATCACCCCACCTGCCTCTGCTCCTTCTCCCTGGCTTTACAGGTCCTCTGGAGGGTTGGTGACCACAGGGGAGACACAGAGCCCCGGGGTCCGAGCCTGGGCAGTACCGTGGGGCTTCCCCAATCCCTGCCTCCCCAGGCCTCAGTGTCCCTGCCTCAGTTTCCCAGAAATTATTGAACCAGGTGCCCTGTGGTGAGGGGTCTGGGGCTTTGTGGCTACCTGGTCAGAGTGCTGCAGAGGCCTCCTGACCACACGTGTGGGCACACACAGACTCCCATGCCCAGAGAGCACTGCTGCCACCCTGGGGATGACGGGACAGTGCGGTCACATCCGCCCTGCAGCCTGTCGCCGCTAATGAAATAAAGAAATAAGGTGGTTCCAGGCTTTTAAACTTCTTATGACCAGATTTGCATAATGGTGGCTCTGGGCTGGGACAGAGCACTTCTGTCTAAAAATATTGTCCCTCTCCTTGATCATGCAGCCAGACAGAAGCCGGGGCTGGCCTGGGGCCGGACCAGGGATGGCCCAAGGATTTACTGATGGACTGGATCTCCTTCCACCTCCGGCAGAGACGCGGGCCAAGGGCCAGGCACAGGGAGGCAGAGATAGTGGAAAGTTATAGATCGATAACTTCCCTGTTCCAATGTTTAGCCGATAGATCACGGTTACTGCTAATGTTTGCCTGCCTCTGCAGCACGGCTGCAGCCAGCACTGTCTCCCCCAGCTCTGCTGACAGCTCACGGCCGACAGGCAAGTCAGGGAGGGCGGGGACCTCAGCCCACAAGGCCTGACAGCCAAGCCTGGTACCAGCCAAGAGCAACTGAGGCCAGGCCACCCAACTGCATCAAGAATCACAAGACTAGTGTAGGCCTGAACATGAATGTCTGCTTTGGCAAGCTCTCTCTGGCTGTGTGACCTTGGGCAAGTCACTCAGCCCGCCTGAGCCCGGCTTTCCTCATCCTCATCCGTCCGTCAAATGCAGGTACTACGAGAAGGGTTACTGAAGGATTGCGGCATCTTGCCTGGAACAAGGCGCTTTCCTGCGGAAGCACCTCTCCAGTTCCCCTACCTGCCCGTGGGCTTCCGTGGTGGGGCGGGAGGAGCACAGCAGGCACGGAAGGAGGACGGGGCAGGCTGGCTGGTGTGCACAGCCAGCAGGGCTTTCTTCAGTTCAGCTGCCCGCCCTGCAGCCCACTCGGAGAGGTTGTGCGGGATGCCCAGGCCTCTGGGGCCTCACACCAGCTTCCTGCGCCTTCCTCCTGTGTCCGAGGGAGAGAGGCTGGCTCCAGCGGCTAGGCATCCAGGAGGCTGAGTCAGCAGGCCTGGCTCCTTTTGACTTGGCCGCAGGGTCGGGGCTGGCTGGGCCTGGACCTCAGCCAGCCCTGACCTTCTGGGAGGACCAGCTGGGGGAGGGCACAGGGAGCCATAGTCGGCACCACATCCCTCTTTCAAGGACTCAGAGCTCACCAGGGACAGTCAAAGGACACATGGGGAAGGTGCTGGATGACCTTGGGGCTGAGAATAGGAACTCTAAGTGTGCAAGCAGACAGAGGGACCCTCTTGTTTCCTTCATGACCTGCATGTATTAAGTACCTACTGGATACCAAAACCCTCATCTGTCTAAGCAGTGGAATGTCAGTTACCTCTGTTAGACAGCTGGAGGGCAGGGGGGCGGGTGTCACTCAGAAAGTGAAAACTGGCCACAAAATCCACCAAGCTGTTTGTTAAAAAGCAGATTCCTAGCTGGGCACAGTGGCACACACCTGTCATCCCAGCACTCTGGGAGGCTGAGGCAGGAAAATCGCAATTTCAAGCCAGGCCTGGGTAATTTAGAGACCTTGTCTCAAAATAAAAAGGGCCAGGATGTAGCTCAGCACCAAGGCCCTGGTTCCATCCCCCAAACTGGAGGGGGGTGGATAAGTAGATTCCTGCCTTACCTCAAAGCTTCAGAAGGCGCCCCAGATGGTGGAAGGCGGCCCTACCTCTCGCACCCCCTGGCCCTGGGGCAGGAAAGGCTCTGGGCCCCGTGCTCCATCCCCTTCCCTCCGGGCCTGGCACAGCCAGGCTGCTCTGAAGTTAATTAGGGACCGAACATTTAATGGTCTGCTATGCTTCCACTGGGCATCTTTTTAAATTAAAAAACATGATGTATGGCACCAATGGAGGAAGAAATCACTTTGGAACGGCTCCCCGCTCAGGCGCCAGCAGGGACGCCGGGCGGGGGAGCTTGGCTAGCCCCTGGAGACCAGGGACACATGTGACCCTCTCCAGGAACACAGGTCCAGCCCATTCCACGGAAAGCGTGTCACCCCAGCCAGGCACGGGTCTAGGTGTCCCAAGAATGCGTGGCACCTGGCCCATCACACCCTTCTAACCCTGGCAGCCAGGAAGTTCTATCTTTAGTCTGACCTGAATCTCTGCAGCTGCTGTGAGCAATGGCTGGGGTGAGACCGACGGCAGAGATCTGCTATTCTCTTCCTTGTAGTGCCGTGGCCTCCAGGAGCCCCTGAGTTCCCGGAAGCCCTTTCTGATTACCCAGAGCTTGAGGATTCTGTCCCTGTTCTGAACCCTGATCGCAGCCCTGTGGGAGGGCAGGACCTCATCGTAGGCGGCCACATGGCCCTGCTGACTCGGTGGATGGCTCCCATGACACAGGTAGTGACTGCTCTCCAGTTAGGCCCTTGCATGCGTGTCCTACCTCCTGTCTCCATCACGACCCCCAAATCAGCACATACGTCCTGGCTGCTGCTAATTGTACTAAAGATTTAGAGCATGGTTTCTGAGCGGAGATTATAAAGGGGTAATTAGACGTTACATTAATAAGGGAAATAAAATCCCCAGGAAGGTAGGTGTAGTAGTGCATGTTTGTAATCCCAGCGCCCTAGGAGGCTGAGACAGAAGGATTGCAAGTTGGAGCCCAGCCTGAGCAATTTAAGAGACAGTGAGATCTTGTCTCAAAATTTAAAAAAAAAAAAAAAAAAAAATTAAAGGCTGGGAATGCAGCTCAGTGTGAAGGACTTGGGTTTAATCACCAGTTCCAAAAACAAACACCACCAGCGAGGTCCAGTGTTAAGTTACCCCAATATAAACATGGCGGCCAGCCCCACCTGGAGGAGGAAGGAGACCAGGCAGAGATGCCCAGCATTTGTCCCCTGAGCAACTCAGTGTCCCTGCTTTCAGAGATGGGGTTCTCCCGTTTGTCACCTGAAAACTGTCACCACACTGCGGTGGAGATGCCTCATCCTTCCAGACGGCTGTGAGGGTGCTGGCTACTCCTGTGACCTGCAGGAGGCGTCCCCAGTCCCCTCCCACACAGCCAGGCCATGTCCACCCCGACGGTTGCCCATAAGGGCTGCTGCTGGGGTTGTTTTTGGCTGCTAAGGCACTGGATAATGAGTGTGCCTGTCCCTTGGCTGTCACATGGCCCTTTCCAAAAGGGTCCTCAGCCTGGTCCCCATGTGGCACCAGCAGCCATTTGGGGAAGAGGCCTGAGACCTCACTTTTCGCTGTCTATCACCAGCCGCAGGGGTTCTGCCTGCACCCGCTTCAACCTCCGTGCAGCCCAGGGACCTCGGTGCTGGTCAGCCACCACCTGTCTAGTGCCTCCGAGCACTGAATTCTCTCGCTGAACACTTGACCACCTGGAGCCACTTTCTCCAATCCAAATCGATTTTCTCCCCTCCCCTAGCAGGCAGCACATTGTCCCGACACTCTGCACGCAATCATCTATTCCCTCTGCTGACCTGCGGTGCTCCAACCTCTCCCCCGCCACCAGCAGGCCCACATGGCTCCCCAGTGCCCTCAGGGGAGTCCATGCATTGCAGGTGGGCCAACACAGCCCTGGCAATGGTCCTGCTGGTCTCTCTTCTGCCCTGGGAGAATGTGCCCAGCCTTGCATTTCCTTCAAGACAGCCTTTCTCCACCTGGAACACCAACCCCTTTCTGTGCCGCCTTCTGTGTGATCCCAGGGCCACATTTTGACCCCGAACAGCCAAGGTCTGACTCCTGTCCTCTCATCCTGAGTCTACCTTCTGGACAGGGGTCTGGTGGAGAGTGGGCTGCATACAGCACAGAGTGGGTACTGTGTACTGGACGCATGGAGACCCAGTGTCAGAAACACTTGCACAGCGGACCTGGGAGTCATGGTTTCCTGCGTGGGGCCTTTGCTTCTTCCTTCACCACAACACTGTCTGATCGCCCGTGTTGGCTCACTGTCTGCCTGAAAGATACTCTTGGTCCCTCTCCTCTGCCTAATGGCTTAGCTCCTTTTGCCTGGTATTCTTTCAGATGAACCTTTAGAACCTTTTATCCAGCTTTTCAGAACTGGCCACCCAGGTGCTGATGAGTAGCAATAAACCCATAAATTAATTCCGGAATCCCTTGCAGGTAATAATATTCCAGCCCGGCACATTGAACTCTTCTCGTTTTCTTTTATGTCTCTCAGGGAAACTTTACAGAGTTCTCCATAATGATCCTCAATTTTTCTTGTAAATTCATTCCTGGGGATTCCTCAGGGGGTTGGTTGCTATTGTTTTATGGTTGTCGTTGAATAGGGACCGTTTATTTCATTATGTGTTCCAACTGCTTGTTCTCGGCACAGATGAAAATTATTGATTTGTATGATGTTGGTTTTATATCCGGCCCAGTACCTTCATATTAAATTCTCATATTAAATTATTTTCCACTTGGTTCTCATGGGCTTCGAGGGTCTCAAATCACACTGACTGCAAATAATTACAATTCTTTCCTGGAGACACACCATTTAATTCTGTTTCATGTCTTATTGCTATGTCCAGAATTCCTGAACCATATAAAAGCACTGTTTTTTTAATAAAAGTTTTTGAATGGAAATCATTAAAAATGTTATCATTTAGAATGATGCTGTTGAGAGGAGACAGATTTTTCACTGTGACAAGAACGTGCCTTTCTCAGTCTATTTATTGCAGTTACTTTAAAATCAGAAATTGGCACTGGAGTTTGTTGAATACCTATTGTCATTTATTAACAGGGCTTTGGCTGACCTGCTGAAACTACATATTATATTAATAGATTTCTCTAACATTAAGCCATCTTTGAATTCTTTGTATAAATCTTATATAATCATATCAGATTATCTCTACCATTTTGCGGACTTGGATTTGGCTGAGGATTTTTTATCCAATATCCATAGGCGAGATGGGCGTGGGTTTCATTTCCTGGTGTCTTTGATAGCTTGGGAACTTGGCTGGTCTCACTTGTCCCCAGACAGTGGCCACCAGGTCATCCCAGAAGTGCTCTGGAAGGGGACACCCCGTCCAAGGCTTGGGGTCTCTTTGCTGTGGTGTGCTCCGGGAGCCCTGTGGGGAAGCACTGTGAACGCTTTGCTCATGAACCATCGTTTTTCCAGGGAAAAGTCACCCATTTGTCTGTGCGCCTCCCAAGGGGGCTTGTGGGTTCAGCTCAAGGAAGGCAAGGCTCGCAGCAGATTCTGAGAACCAGGAGAGGCCACCCCAGGGGACTGCGAGGCCTCACAGCAGAGAGGCCTGGAGACCACCCGGCCAGGGCTCACTGATCTATGTGTAGACAGGAGGGGCACAGAGATGGCAGAATGGGAAACGACTGGTCCATCCTGACTGAGAAAGATGCTTCCCAGCAGTGACCAGCACCAAGCAAGCTGTCTCCACAGAGCCTGCCTCTGAAAGGTGGAGGTAACCTGCCCTCCCACTGCACGTCCACCCAGAGACCATGACACACACAACCAGAGCTGGGGTCCCCCTCAGTGCCTTTGAACCTAGGCCCGGGCCAGCCAGGGCTGAGGCAGAGCCCTGTCCACTGCACAGCTCACAGCTGCCACAGGAGACAGCCAGCCCCCTGCACGCAGGTGTGAGACGCTCAGGCGGCCAGGGGACCTGGAGGACACGGCACCATCTAGAAAGAAGCCCGCAGCACCTGGCAGGAGGGACGAGCCAGGCGGACACTTCACTCTTCCCAGTGCCCGCGGCACAGAGGGCAGGTCTGGGACTCTGCTGCGAGGTGAGAGACAGACAACACACTGAACGCCACAAGGGGCCCTGTGTCCCCCAAGTTCCCTGGTCCCCACCTGTGAGGGGACAAGCTCAGCACCCACGATGGGCCTGGGGGACAGAAGAGGGAGCCACGTAGGCATCAGTCACCATGACACTTGCTAGTTCTGTGCCCATGTGTCCAGTGGGGAAC